CAACTTATTCGATAGTATATTAAGGTAAGACTAGGACATATACTGTATAAGATAAATGTTTAGATCAGAATAGTTGACCAAACAGCGATATCCATTTAAAAGTGTGCTCAAGATAAGTTATTTTAGTTCTGGGGCGACCAAAGCCATTATAGTCAAGACACAGCGAATTTTTAAAGGAATTCGTTTCTAATTCTCTATTGCAGATAAATCAGAGATATTTGACTAAAGTAATACTTAAAACACAAAATTGTTAGGGCAGAAGTTGGATATATTATCTTCTTCAAATGACTATCTATATCTATTTGTCGATCGACATCAGTGCATACATCCATTTAGGCTTTTCTCAATCTTTAAATTTTGAGTTTGCGAACAAAGTCCCACATTGAAAGCTGAATAGATGGGGAGACTACATATAACGTGTAGGAATCTCTTAATGGTGTGAGACATTTTGAGAAAAATGTACAAACTTGTTTCAAAACAAATTATATCACATATCTCGAAAATTGATCTGGACTTGACTTAGAAAGAATAATATCTAGAGTATCTTTAGGCTAATTATAAGATTTTAGAACAAAGATTGTTTCCATCAAGTAATGGCTTCCCATTTGGGAAAAGATATTGCATAGACTCTTCCACTAACTTCAATTTTTCAGTAACATATACTATCACTTACTACTTTCTCTTGTGCCTCTCCATGAGTAGTGATGACACGGCGCATATATGCTCTCAAATAGCTACACGAGTGTGTACTTGTAAGCGTAAAAATGATTTCGACCACTTGTAAATGTTTTTTTTTTCGAAATATAAAATAAAAATAAATTTATACAGTAAAAGATTATTAAATCAAATCTCCACCAAATAGTTTCACATTAATTTTTTTTCTTCCATTCTTTGTGCATTATCATGTACTGCGTGCCTTCCCTTTTAATCTTCCTTGGCGTAGCCAAACTAATTATTTTATTTTATTTGCATATTTTAATACTATCAAATTGAGTAAATCAAATACTTCTACTGCACAATATGGATTATTTACAGCAAGTTGGCATCCATCGAGATTCGGATCCTTTCCTTCTTTCCACTATATTTCATTTGAGCAAAAATTTAAAATTTATAGTTAGAGAATTTAGTCTTTTTTTTTTTTTTTTGAGTTACTAGCCTTCAAAATTAAATAATTTTTTTTTTAAGATAAACATAAAATTTGAATCAAATTATTAGATTCCGATTAATTTGTCAGTTGTCACTCATCACGCATGCAGTGGTCAAAAGCAAATTCAACATTAACTGATATGTCACACTGTTGAGGGTAAAGGCTTATCAGATTCTAATTAGTGGGCACTATTGAATGCTCATTAGTATGGCAATAGTCAAATCTTTAATCTCTTACTGATGCGAATTGGTGACATTAATCAAGCACTTGATCAACTTGTCATCTAAAGTATACATATATTGCATGTGGTAGACACGACAATGTGGGCAGGGGTCTATATAGTTTGGACCAACTTCAAATCTCAATATTTTGGTTATTTGAATTATGGATTGAAATTTGGATTTTATTTTTAAAATTTATGAATTTTGATCGGTTATCGAATTTAGTATTGCAATTTTCGGATATTCAAAAATCTAACTTTTTTTATATCTTATATTTAGTCCTATCCAAATGATATGTGCCAATACTAATAAGTTTAATTTCTAAAGATATAACAAATTAGTACCTTACGATTCTACCCATTATATTATTTAATCTGGAATTACACTGTATGATAATCTTGTTCTTTATTAACCGTAGAAAGTTGTATATTCTAAAAGAACAAACTATTACATGAATTGAGATTATTGTTAACTGCCATGACCTGTCTTAAAAGCTCAAAATTGAAACCCCAAAATATCCAAGTCGATTATTCCAATCCGAACTATCGGAACCACCCCTAGACATGCTACATGGAGTTAGAATAAATGGTTGAAATATTACTCTCAAACTTGATTTATAGTACTGATCGGTATGTTAGAACAAATTAATTTGCTATAACCTGATCTATTATATTATCAATGTATATATATAACTTAAATTCTTGGATAAAATAGATAGGACAACACCCAATATTGAGTTAATTACATCAAGAAGCAAACTTATTCATCAACCATAAGTACTTGTTTCATTACAATATCAATTATTGGATTGAAACCTATAACCATTTTTCTTAATAAACTCAAGTCTTGAAACAACCTTGTCATGTGGAGGCAGAGTTTCTTTCACCAAAGGCAGCTCAAGCAAAGTAGTCACCCATGAATATACCAATGGATTCTTTTCAGGGTCCAAAATTTTCATTCCAACAACTTCTTCTGCTGCCTTATATGCAGCAAGTGAACACACAATTATTATATCTAAAAGCCCCAAATTTTCAGCACATATTTTAGATCTTCCCCCAGGGAAAAAATCTTTCATTCCTTCTTCCATTACTTTTAGGATCTCAAAGAATTCATCAAATGCTCCTCCCTCAACATCTGTGGCTGAAATGAATGCTTTCTTCATGGTGTCCGATATCTTCAAAATAATATTTGAATGGTGAGACGTGCGTGAAGAATATACTTTTTTGAAAAAAAATATACAGTCAAATCTTTTTATAACAGATTGCATGTTACAGAGAGCATATCATAATATGAAAATGACTTTTGTCATATCAAACACGTCCATATAATAACACAAAAGGAAAAAATAAATAGAGATATGTATAACCTGAAGGCAGTAAGAAGCCCAGAGACGAACTGTGGCTCTTTCATAGGGATCTTCTGGTAATAATAGAGGCCGCAAGTTGTTCCAGGTTTCATCGATGTATTCAAGAATCACTAGGGACTCGGAAACAGGCTTACCGCGGTGAAGGAGTAGTGGAACCTTCTTATAGATGGGATTGTACTTGAGAAGAAGAGAACTTTTGTTGCTCAAATCTTCTTCTACATAATCAAATGTTATGCCTTTGATTTTGAGAGCCAACTCCACTTTCTTTGCATATGTGCTAATCCACATTCCATGTAGTGTAACTTTATTGTTTTCCTCTTCCATTAATGGTTTTTCTTTTCTCTCTCTCTTTTTTTAAATGTTATGTTAAATAGATATTTCCACCAAGTACAAGCTACAAATTTTTTATGTTGGAATATAGAAGAGAGGAAAGGTTTCTTTGTATTCATGCTTGAGATTGATGTCACGTCAAAAAATAAAATATAAGAAAATTATGAAAAAAGAATTATTATTGTTTGTAAAGAATGGGATTCGAACACTTTCTTTGCATATGTGCTAATCCACATTCCACGTAGTGTGTTTTCCTCTTCCATTAATGGTTTCTCTTTTTCTCTCTCTTTTTAAATGTTAAATAGATAGTTCCACCAAGTACAATCTACATAATTTTTATGTTGGAATATAGAAGAAAGGAAAGGTTTCTTTGTATTCATGCTTGAGGTTGATGTCAAGTCAAAAAAGAAAATATAAGAAAATTACGAAAAAAGAATTATTATTGTTTGTCAAGAATGGGATTCGAACCCATGCCCTTTCGGACCAGTACCTGAAACTGGCGCCTTAGACCAACTCGGCCATCTTGACATTTGAATTTTCATTTTAATTGTATAAATATATTAATTTTGATCTTCCAATTAACTGGTATTATTTTCTTGTATCAAACTTAGGACTGGACATAAAATATCAAAAACTAAATTACTGTACTGAATCAAAGTTTTTGGTATTCGGTATGATATTCGGGAGTAAAATCTTAGAATTATGATATTCAGGTTTGAGTTTGGTATGAGAAATTAGTACCATTTGGTATTTTCTGAATATCGAATTATTTACTTAATGAAGGTTATATATTAATATGTCCATTACTCATTAGTACGAGATCGAGTTCAAACTCCAAAGAGAAAGTTAAAGAATAAACATAAACAACCAAATATATATGCAGTGACGGAGCCAAATTTTTTATTAAAGGTGTCCAAGAATAATAGTATGTGATTGTTAAAATACAAAAATAAATAAATTGTGCTATTTGGGTTCAAACCTGGAACTCCTTCATTCAAATGGATCATACCACTACCCCAAAGACATAGCTTTTGTCAAGGATGTCCAACATTAAATATATAACCTTTAAATATAGAATTTGACATATATATACAATGTAATTTTCTAACGAAGGTGGCTGTAGCTATGCCACTATATATATATGTCTTATAGTTGTATCATTTTGTTTTTCTTGATGTCTTTTTACTTGTTGATCTTCTATTATATTGTGTCTTTGTATAAAAAAATATAATTAATTGGAAAAATAGTATTAACTTTGTATTACATCGATTATAACTTCAATACGGTATTACCGAATACCATATCAAATCAAAAATTAATTTACTGAATTACCGAATAATTGCAATATTTTAAATTTGTATGTTTATGTAAATTTAATTTTTTAGAAAAATAAAGAACTCATCTATAAATCTATACCAAATTAGATGTGATTACTCCTTGTATTTCGAATCGTGCCACAACTTTTGTGAGTAAGACCATTAAGAGCCCGTTTGAATTGGCTTAAAAAAGTAGTTTTTAAGTTAAAAATAAAAAATTAAATTGAAATGACTTTTAAGTCAAAAATAAAAAAGTAGGGGAGACCTACTTTTGGTTTTTGACTTATTTAAAATCATTTTTAACCTTGCCAAACACTTCCTAACTTATTTTAAGTCATTTTTGATTTATTTTAAGTTAATTTTTATATTTGTCAAATACTTCTAGAAATAAAAAACTGACTTAAAAGTAGATTTGACCAATTTTTAAACCAATCCAAACACCCTCTTAAAGTCGTAATTGGTTGACCATATTGGCACTAAATAAAAGTGGTTGACCATAAATTTTTCTTTCACAAAATTAGGGGGCTAAAGTGCGTACAATCCAAACTCAAAGGTGGTTAAGTGCATTAACCTATAATATCAAGATGTACCCAAAATCGGGTAGCCTATATAAGGCGGTTGAGAGGGCTAGAACACAGAAAAAGAGAAGAGAAAGCAAATGGAATCGTCAGGGCAATGGCTGGAAAAAGCGTTACTGGAGCTATGTAACAAGATAGAGAATGGCCTTGATTTAGATGCTGAGATTATTTCTGGGCTTGTTTCTTATTGTGAGCTTGCTCCTCCTCTCGAGGCTAAAGAATATCTTGATGTAACCTTCTTCCCTTCCTCCATCTATAGTTTCTGTGATGTTGATTTTCTTGCTTTCAATTTTGTGTTCTGATAATCAGGGTTTTGGATTAAGTTGAAAGTTCGTAATTGAGAGTTGGGGTTTATAATTGATTATAGACTGTACTCATTGACATTTGAAAATCAAAGAGGGTCTTTTGTTAGATGCAAGAGGATAATGTGTCTGACTCTGTATTTTGATCCCAGTGTTACTTATTGGAAACCTGATTGGATATCCTGTGGGAATTTTCCTTTGTGTTCATCTTGTTATTTGTCTTTTCTGTTTCTGGTTCTCTTTAGCCTAATTGCTTGGTTTCAGTGTTTAGGTTACTTTAGATTGGTTTGCGTTTTCTAGACGTGTACTCTGATGCTCTAATCGTGATTGAAAAAATTGTGGACTAGCTTCTAATTCACTTGAAACTCTTAAATAACGAAGCAATACAGCATGTTTGAGATTTTACATTCATCAGTCATCGCCATTTTTTAAATGGATAGTAAAAAATATACAGAACTCCGTCCTTCTTAAAGGCCTACTTCCGGATTCTGATATATCTCCAACTGAGTTACGGTTATGCACCTTATTCAACAAGAATGCAAATGAATTTGTAACTTGAACCTCCCTCTTCTTCCTTTTTTTTTTCAGCAATCAGCAGTGAAACAACTCCTTATGTTGTGCTTGTGTACCTATTAGGATTATATGCTTATATGTTTGTGTAAATGCTTTTGAACACTATTGTTAACATTGCTCTTCTCCGTCTTTTGATTTTTATTTTTTTTAAATGAAATCTGATAATGTTTCAAGTAGAGAACATCTGATAACTTACTGAAATTTGCTTTTTTATGTTGACATATTTGTACAAAGAAATGAACAAACAGCTAGTGTTTTGGCCTAATCAGTGTTGTCAATCCACACTTAAACCTTGAAACTAGGTGCAATGCAAGTTGGATGCTTCACATCTTTCAGATAAGGCTTCTGATCCAATTTAGCCAACAAAAGGAAAAAGTTTGCCTTTCATTGCATGCCTCAAGGCACCAACTGTGCGTCTTAGGGAAGTCCATCAGCTAATTGCTTTCTTAAGTTTAACTTTATAAGGCCCATGATCTTTGTGTTTATAGAGCAAAGAGTTGGCACTAAACCGATGCATTTTATCCTGAGAAAAAAGAAGAAAAAGATGGTAGCGTTTTGGTACAGTGACAAAGGCACTAACTCTGTTTCACAGCAAGGACCATTCAAACTGCTTTCTTAAGTTAAATTTATGATACCCATTGGCTCAGTGAAGAAGTTGTACTAAATAATAAATAGAGCTGGAAAAGCAATTTATAAAGAATGAATATGGAAGTATTGCTGGTGTAGAAAGTCAGAAATTAGCTAAAAAAACATTTGCCGAAAATAACTGAATTCGAGCTTGATAAAAAAAAAATGAAAATGATTTTTGAACTTGACTGACATTTTTTTTACTTGAGGGGGAGCCTGTGTTCTCAACTTTTAATCATTTATCAATGATGTCTTATGTTCATTGATAGTTTGTTTTTTCTTGTATCTATGTCTTTAAGTCTACTTGATATTTTGAGAATGTGTAGATTAATGAGGAGGCACTTCTTTGATGAGTCTTTCTAGGAGTCCGGAGCTGAAAGGGCAAAAAAATTGAGTGAAATTTCCAAAAAGGCAACAAAAATAAGTTTGAAACCAAAAGGGTAACATTTAAACGAGAGGGGAGACGGCGTCTAAATTGGGGTTGCAATTGCAAAGCGCAGATCCCTATGCGCCTTACAAGTCGCAGGCTGTCTGCGCCTTGTAAGGCACATTTACTTTGTTGATCAAACACCAAAATCTTTGTATAGTGATGTTTTAGAATAGCAAAATAATAAGCTAAAACAAGAAAATTAAAAGATGTGTATATGAATAAAAGAAAGAAAAAGGGGTAACTCAATAGCAATAGAGAAAAAAAATAAAATAAAAGGCAACAAATTAAAGGGACTTGCTTTTCATCATTAACCAGTCAATCAATCTATTAAAATAAATAGGAAGAAGAAGCTAAGAAAGAGAAAAGAGAAGACTCTGTATGAGAGAGAAATAAAAGTGACAAAGGCTTGGGAACCAATGCGCCTTACAAGGTTCAGACAGCTTGCGACTTTTAAGTTGCTGTCTCCTAGCGCCTTATAAGGCGCATAGGGACCTGCGCTTTGCAATTGCAACCCCAATTTAGACGCCGTCTCCCTTCCCATTTAAATGTTACCCTTTTGGTTTCAAATTTATTTTTGTTGGCCTTTTGGAAATTCACTCAATCTTTTTGCCCTTTCGGCTCCGGACTCGTCTTTCTAGCACACATTCCCTTCCACCTGTTAGAAAGTGAAAATTACCTTTTCATTTGGTATTTGAAAACAATCCTAATTGGGAACTTGATAAGACCTTTTTTACGTTGTTACTTGTTATTGGTTATTAAAACTTGATTTCATGTAAAGTTACCAGTTTAAAAAAAAAAAACACAACTTGATTTCATGTATCAGCATTTTCGTAATTTTCTTTTTTTGTAAGATCTTCTCTGCATATGGCCATGCAATTAAGATTATGTTTGGTCCTTTTTCTTATTGGTAACAGTTGACTGTTGTTTATTCATTTACTGACATCTTTTCTTTCTGAATCTTCTATAGAATATCATAGGTCAGGATGCTGGAAAAAGTGTGACTGGTGAGTATTTGAGACAGAGAGGTCATTCAGATTTATACCAAGGTACCTCTGCTTCCAAATTGCAAGCATATGTAAAGCCTCCTTCAGGTGATAGTCTGGCAGCTGGAACTAAAAAACAAGTACGAGCACCAAAAGAAAGTAAAGCCTCAAGTAAGCAGGAAAGCCAGAGCACAGCTGAGACATCAAATGGACGAAACCTACAGAGAGGAAGTCAAGGGAACTCTACAAAAACAACTGCACCTCAATCCCAAGCAAGTCAAAAAAACTCTAAAAAGAAAAAATCTGAGAAAGTTATTTCTCTTGCTGAGGCTGCAAAAGGTTCCATCATATTTCAACAGGGGAAGCCATGCTCGTGCCAAGCCCGCCGACACAGGCTGATAAGCAACTGTTTATCTTGTGGGAAGATAGTCTGTGAACAGGAAGGTGAAGGGCCTTGCAACTTTTGTGGTGCACTTGTGCTGAAGGAGGGAAGCTCGTATGCTGGATTAGATGAAGGTCCAGTTCCAATTTCCGATGCTGAGGAAGCAGCTGAAGCCTATGCAAAGAGGCTAGTTGATTATGATCGGAACTCTGCAGCACGTACGACTGTTATCGATGACCAAAGTGACTACTATGAGATTGAGGGAAACAGCTGGTTGTCGAAGGAGGTATGCAGTGTACTGATTGTGAGAACATTTCACTTTGCAAGACTTGGTTTCTATGATGTTACTGACTTATGTTTGTGATCCTTCTTTTCCTCCCCTTTCAACAGGAAAAGGAAATTCTGAGGAAAAAGAAAGAGGAGATAGAAGAGGCTGAACGTGCCAAACGAAATAGAGTCGTAATGACGTTTGACCTCGTCGGCCGCAAGGTTTTTCTTTCATTGCTATTAAGGAAGATGTGCTTTTTCCTTCTCCCTTTTGTCCTTTTATCTTCTTTTTTTCTTCCGCGTTCTTTTTCTTTGCTATGTAGGGTGAGAAAGTGGTTCTTATCTTGTTCTTTTGTGAATTTCGTTAGTCTTGTTTTTTCAATCATCAAGGCAAACTATTGTCTTCTTTTGTCTTTTGACTGTTGACTGTTGATTCCTATACTTTCTTTATGTAAATGTGCTGCAGCTAGGTCTCAAGTTCGAAACCCACTGGGTGCAAACAATTTCTGAGGGCCATCGGACTGGGTAAAACCTGAATTAACCGTGGTGCACTTGCGGGAAACTCCTTGCCGAGGGCCTGTGCACCCCCGGGATTAGTCGGGGCTCAAAGAGACTCGGACACCCGGTGCAAATCAAAAATAAAAATAAATGTGCTGCAGCATAGCTCAGTGTTGAATACCATGTTGATAGAGATTAGATATCCAAAGTCTGGCTTTGACTTTAATCAAAGTCGAATGTGAGATTCATAGACCAAATAAAAAAATAAACATTGGGCTTGGTCACAAGTTGCATTGGAGCATTGATCAATTATCACTACAATTGGTTCTCATGCAATTCCACCATCTGCTCTTTGATGGTCTGAAAAGAGTTGGAAATTTCTTCAACCTCACTTCTTTTTGTTATCCCCAGTTTCTGACTGTTTGTGCTCGACGGAAAAGTCACTTGTTGCTGTGTTATTACTTGCATCTTTTTTGTGTATTGTATTGAAATTTTTAGTTGGAGATGCATTATGTATTTGTATTCTTGTTTAGGCACGGGCTTAGGATTACACTCTTTTATTTTTTTTCTTTTTCTTGGTGGACAAGCATTAGTCCTGTAACTTTCTCGTAATAACCTGAAGAAAGCCTGCTGATTGCTTGGAGAAATTTATATATCTTAACTCAAATACCCTTTTTAATCTACATTTCTGCAGGTTCTTTTAAATAAAGACGAGGCCGCTGAAGAACTGCAGAAGGGAATTCTCTTCAGACCAGCAGAGGAAAAGGAAGCAACCCGCATTAAACCTAACCCAAACCTAAAGGTACAACCCGTCTTTGTGGATCCAGGTCCCAGGAAAACTCCCAAGGAGAAGAATAATAAGAAAGGCCCGAGAAATGGCTTGTGCTTGGAGATTACTGGGAGAGTGCAACATGATACCAGTGAACACTCACGTTTGATTGTAGAGGGCAAGCTACATGGATCTTCAAGTAGCAAAATAGTGGCATGAGCCATCTATTAATAGGACAGTCGGAACTTCAGATGACTCTGAGTGTACCTTTGATTACTATTGAGAAGTATATAGCTTGACCAATTGAGTACTCTTCATCCCCACACCTCCAAACATGTCATCTTTCTGGGGTAGGGCGCGGAGTGTAGAAAGTTACTCTTATAAACTTGCTATTTTAAGTCCTGATTTATCAAGAAAACAATTCTCTGCAAATATTTGTTTGGAGTGGAATGAACTTGGTTGTCATCTGTGTTCAATGTTCTCCATCCTTCGCCCTGTAGGCGGACGCTCTGCATGAACTGAGAAAATGTGTGATAGGTCACTCGAAAGCTTCCTTTGTACACAAGAAAAATTGCATCTTTTTAATGACTTATGGTTTTGTTGACTTTGTAGTTTGCGCATTTTTGGTATATTGAGAATTGCCGATGAAACATACAAGGTGCTAAAGTGAGATGACAAATTTATTGTTCAACATTTTATTAGTGAAATGCTTGTTTAAATTCAATTTCAACTTTTAGGTAACACTCGATTATCGAAACTAAATAGGCTTTGCTCGAGAAAAGTTCTCTTTGACCGTAAATATAATTTCCTTCACACACAATTGTTTAAAATTATTAATTTTCTTTCACACACAATTATTTAATAATATTTATTCACTATGGATTTTGATGAACATTTTAAAATAATATAAACAACTATTAATTTCCTTCACTTTTCAAATCGGTATAGAAAGAAAAATAAAAATAAATGCTGGTACTCAACAATGAATGTATGTATATTCTATTCTTTTTCCTTATAAAGTCAGAGTCTAGTAAAAACTGAGGCCACCAACTTCCAGTTCATTGAAAACATCGGATTTGTCTTTGTCAAGTAATGTCCGATGTCGTATACTCCAAACAACCGAACCGACTACTGTAAATTCCGATCAAACACTTACTTTGGATTCTTTTGAATAAATATACATCGAACAATGGTTTGATCCTATTGGAAACGCAGCAAGACTCCTCTTTCCTGAGATCCGTAAGATTTCTATCGATGATTTCAATTCTTGCACAAAATTATGTAGTTTTTCAGTAATTTGGACACTGTTTTTGGTTCTTTCTTTTTGAGATTTTTATGTACTTCAGATATTAAAGAACCAATTTTTATTTCTTAGTATAATATCTATGATGTTGGATGATAAAAACCTCACAAGTAGAGTTATGTTATGTAGGGATAGTATTAAGAGTACTAAATTGGAAACCCTGTGCTTTTGCTCCTCTTGTCTAGAGAATTACTACTTACTTACATTGACCTTTACCTACTAAAATTGCAAAGAAAGCACATTTACTCATTTTATTGTTTATCTTCTTACTTGTATGTATAAGGATGTTTGGCATTCAAATAAGAAGTTGTTATGCCAAGGAGATTCAATCACTTATATATGTGGAAAAGAAGTTTCCCTATCTACATAGTGTAATTTTTGACCCCCCTCTTTTGTCGTCTTTATCTAAGTGCTTGCATAATTAGGGTAATCAAGAGCCTATGATAATTACTTACACTTGATCATATTTCTCAAACCAAAATATGTTTTTTAATATGAGGGTAGTCAATAACCTCTTCATCTACATCACTATTCATGACAATGAGCATTATCTTCTTTCATTGTTTCCATGTCATCTGAAATCTGGATGAACAATTCTAGGTCAATCATGGCGATAAAAGGAAATCCAGGAGATAACAGAAGCAGAGGCCCTGCGTCAATATTTATTGTAGCTGGTCTTTGTTGTTTTTTCTATCTTATAGGAGTCTGGCAAAGAGGTGGTTTCGTGAAGGGGGACAGCAAAGCTCTTCAGATAACAAAAAGGGCAGAGGACTGCAGCATTCTCTCCAATCTAGAGTATGAAACTCATCACGGCGATCAACACGGTCTGGTTGATGATCCCAAACTGAAAATCAAGCAGTTTGAACCTTGTGGTGAGCAATATGTTGATTATACACCGTGTCATGATCAAATGCGAGCAATGACATTTCCTAGAGAAAATATGAACTATAGGGAGAGACATTGTCCTCCAGAAGAAGAGAAGCTGCATTGTCTTATTCCAGCGCCAAAAGGCTATATAACTCCTTTTCCATGGCCGAAGAGTCGTGACTATGTACCTTATGCAAATGCACCACATAAAAGTTTAACAGTTGAGAAGGCAGTGCAAAACTGGGTACAGCATGAAGGTGATATACTTAGATTTCCAGGTGGTGGAACTCAGTTCCCACATGGGGCAGATGTGTATATTGACCAGCTTGCTTCTGTGATACCAATTGGAAATGGCACAGTTCGAACAGCATTGGATACGGGATGTGGGGTGAGTAGAAATTTGTAAAAGCTTGCCAATATATTTTGTTCTTTTTATGAAGTAATTTCACTAGAAGGCACCAAGGAGATACAGGGTTACAAAAATACATATGTTAGCTCCATTACGAGAATAGGCTATGCTATGACTAGGCAACAAAATAGATTATGTAGACATCTAGCTTTAAGGGAGATTCCTAGTTACTACTTGAAATTAATATATACTGATCGTCATACAAGCCGTCTTAACTGCTGTGATAATCTTAATGCACTTAGTCTCGCTGCAGATATTTAACTGCTGCTTTTTCTTTGCACTATCTATCTGGTAGTTGTACTCCTTTTCGATGAGTGCTTTAACTTCTCAATGTTAGTCGAGATCAATTTTCATGAAAGCCGGTAGTTTGCATAATTATCTTGGTTTCCTCCTCTTCTTTTTGTGAGGTTAAAGCTTTTACCTTTGTTGTTGTTGCCATTATAAATGATGTATGTTTCTCTTCATCAAAAAAAAAAAAATGATTGTTTCTATCCAAATTCAATCTCTATATGTTTGATGAATGGAATATGCCATCTTAGGTTGCTAGTTGGGGTGCATACCTTTTTAAGAAAAACGTTATAGCCATGTCATTCGCACCAAGAGACTCACATGAAGCTCAAGTCCAATTTGCTTTGGAAAGAGGCGTACCAGCAGTTATTGGTGTACTTGGAACCATAAAATTGCCATTTCCATCAAGGGCCTTTGATATGGCTCATTGTTCACGTTGTTTGATTCCATGGACTGCAAACCGTAAGCATCTCTTCTTTTTTCTGGATCTTGTTGTTCTTTCGATCTTTTAATCTAACTAGAAATCTGACTGGTGTAGGGGATTGCTCCGCTTGAGAGATCCCCACCTATCTTATTGGATATTATGTGCTTTTGTTTAGCATTCACAGCTCTTCTTTTGGTGTATATATGATACCCTGGTGATACCAACTAATTCAGATTAAGACTTAGTTTTGCTGTAACATTTTCATTAGATCTGGTATTTGTGGGATTTTTTCTGTTTGGTGAAAGACTTGTATGTTAGCCTAGGGTAAATATTATATTTGGAGAACCTCTACTTACAAATAATTTAATGTGATAACAAAATAGACCCGAATAGAATGCAATAGATATGCAGTATTCATATAGCTGACTCCAACTAATTGAGATTATCCAGAACAAGTTTGCTGATTGATATGATACCTTGGCTTTGGGAGCAGAAATTGTAAGAAAATTAATCAACTTAGACCAAATTATTACCCAAAAGATATTCCTCTACAAGCTTTTATTTGGCAAAATTATCCTGTATTTATGGTACATGATCTCCTGGTAATTCAGCAAGCATTCTCTAGTACCAATTGCCAACCAAGGATAATCCTAGATTGATTTTTCATTTCCGTTTTGGATTGAAAAATGATTCCCACTTGAAACTTTCAAATGAAAACTGTCCTATGCTAGTAAGCCTAATATGTTCCCTTAGTTAAAGAATACACCTTCTTTAGTCTCATTTATAAACATTGCAAGTGAAAATAAGATATTTTACTCGTCATATTTATACTTGTATGTGCATCTAAACATACATGATTCATGTACCAAGTCAAATGCTTTAGTATTGTGCAACATGCAAAACATGTCTTCATTTTTCTTTCTTTGGGTCCCCCCCTGGTGTTAGAGAAAGAACTTTAGGAATAAGGCACGTCTCTTTTGTTTTGGTAAGTGTTATTCAGAAAGAGGATAGTGCATGTGCAGGCCCATGAGGACTGGATATTTAATCTATTGGCTGTTTCTGTATTTTGAAATTTTTTTAGTTACGTTCTTCCTTCAGTTATTTCTTATTATTTTCTGAAAACTTCTGAATTTCTCTTTTTAGGTGGACTGTACATGATGGAAGTGGATCGAGTTCTCAGACCAGGGGGGTATTGGATACTTTCAGGTCCTCCCATCAGCTGGCAGACTAATTATAAGGCTTGGCAACTACCTAAAGAGGAGCTGGAGGAGGAACAAAGAATGATTGAAGAGATAGCTAAGCTTCTCTGCTGGGAAAAGAAGTACGAGAAAGGTGAGATAGCTATATGGAGAAAACGTGTTAACTCCGAGTACTGCAGTGAACGAGATTCCCGTGTAACTCTATGTGACCTCTCGAATTCAGAAAATGTCTGGTAACTCCTTGCACCTTATAATGTTACTCATCCAAACATTTCAGTTGTCAAATGGCCGAATAATTAGGGTTTTCTTCTCCTTTATTGTGTTATTCAATGGATGTACAAAGCTGTAATTGGCAAGTATAATATCAGTTATAGAAGATTGCTTTTATGATTTTTTCCAGTCTCTTTAGTTCACGTATCTGCCCTTAAGACTTTGAGTGGCAGAGGTAATTGATTACATTGCAATAGTCAAAGGGAATACTAATTTCTGTCTGACAAATGAGTTTCTTGTAATATATGTATCCTTCTTTTTTGTTGCCGTGTCCTCTGTCTTTTTTCTTCTATGGCCAAGCATGTTACATACCTACAAGCACTTGATGTTCCATGCTGAAAGCAGTCCCTTCCCTTCTTTTAGCGATTATGATATGTTGAAAACCACAAAGTGGGGTAAATAGCCTCTTGTGAAATATGTGTACGACACTGCTTCATTAGAAGTACTGAATAGCATTACCTTTTGAAAATAAAAGGGGATCTGGGGATTTTGAGTTCTCTACAACTTTGGTGATAAAGTTTTTGATTTCCATCTGATTACATGATATTAAGCCAAAAGATTGCTATAGGTATAAGAAGATGGAGGCATGTGTAACTCCGTATCCTGAAACAATCAATTCGGAGCAAGTTTCTGGTGGAGAGCTCAAGCCATTTCCGGAGAGACTTAATGCTATTCCTCCAAGAATAGCAAGTGGATCTCTTACTGGAGTCTCTGTTGAATCATTCCAGGAGGACAACAAGTCATGGAAGAAGCATGTGAAAGCTTATAAGAGAGTTAACAAGCTCCTTGACACTAGGAGGTATCGCAGTGTACTGGATATGAATGCTGGCCTAGGAAGTTTTGC